TGGAAGATCATTAATAAAGACAAGGAAAAGACGTGGGCCTAGCACTGATCCTTGTGGAACCCCACGGTTGACATATATCGGATCAGAAAGTGAATCGACACTTTTGGCCCATGGTTCGTTGTCCAGAAATCGTTACGCGTCGCCCCTTGTCTGACATTTTCTCGGAGGGCAAGATTACCGCATTTCATTGCATTCAAAACTTTTCACTTGTTTGCTCCTTGACAAGCGCGATCAAATGGTGTTTGGCCAATTATTATATTCCAAGCAATTAGAGATACTGTACCATCTTTATTTTAAGGTAGTGGCATCAAACTGTCGGCTCAAATGAAAAGCTATCTGTGTTTTGAAGTGGTCTGTTTGTTGCTGGCTTCCCACCCGGTGGCTTGTTTGGTGATGTAGTTGAACTCGGTATGCGTAGTGTACAGCTCAACTGGGAATGTACTACTGGTTTGAATCTATGCCACATCTCACGAGCAGTTACGGTTTGTAAATGTTCAATGACCTGTGCTATCGATGTGATATCTGTTTGAAAGTTGGGGATTGGATGTAGTCTGCGCGCGTTCAACCAGATTTTATGCATGCAACAAGACATGGAGGCTAAAACATTTTCCAAGCTCCGATGATCGAGCAACCCACTGTTTACCTAGTGTCCGATAGCTCGTTTGGTGATTTTATGGGTATATGTAGATAAATAGACAGCTGAGGCGGGACTCTGATTCGATTGTTTTATATTCATGAAATGCAGTAACTATGCCGGTATTTACATAAACTTCCTTGGTTCGCAGTCATCTTCAAAGAGAAGTGGTGTTCATAACTTGGTTATAAGCAGTGAGTGAACATTGATTTGCGATTTTGCGTGAAAGAATCGGTAACCAGATAAGCAAGGAAAGCAGAAATGAAAGCATTGAGCTTGATATATAAAGCAAGATCTAAAAAACAGTATAAACTGTAAAGTCCAACGACTTGGGGACAACAAGGAAATGCAAATGATACGCGGATTCGAGAATCGCGACAGAGCTTGAACTCACGATAGAAGTTTGCCTTGGTGAAATTCGCATCAGTGAACAGGATCAGACCGGACACGTTCATTGTGGTGTTTGCGTCCGCACCAAAACTGGGTGCAGGCACATAGACACGTTGTATATCCATCATGTTCTCATACCATGTGTGCATAAACGGGGCTTGACTTTGTTCACTGTAAGTGGCCAATTCATCCACAATCTGACGCGGGGATTGCGTGAAGATATCATATTTTATCTAATATCATAACTTCAGTGTGGTCGCTATGACTGCTTTATATCAATATGTACAGGAGGCTATAAACGATCGGCTTAAAGACTGAACAGGATAAAAGTGTAATGCCACAAATCAAAACGGATAATTATTCGAGACAGGAATCTACAAGCGGTTTGTGCAAAGCGGTGGACAGAGCAATATGCCCAAAAATTAAACAAGATAGTGAAATAAGGGAAAAGCAACGGAGTGGGTAAAGGAAATCGGCATAGTAACGGGTCTGTTCGAAATATGCAGATTTCGAGTGCACAGGAGAGACAGTCGAAACTGTTGAACGGTTAGCTTTCTGGTGCATGGATTACTTTGTTGGGTCAACTGAGCAAGACACCGTTAGTAATGCTCAGGTGGCGGTGAAGCACCTTAGGACTTATTTTCAACGGACCCGAAACACTAACAGGCGTGAAATTTGCGAGAGAACAGACCCCCTCGCTCATTACGTTTAACAGATGGAAATGAAGTTAAAAACGTAGTTCCCCCTAAACACAAGTTTTTGAAACAAAGCTGTATTCCTAACTACCGACAAGCACGCCAAGTATCTGGAAGTAAATCTATGTTTAAATCTAAAATATTAAGATTAAAGTGACTATATGACTAGGGTTTGTGGAGGCAGATCTGAGTAAAGTGATCTACTGGACCAGGAATATTTCGTCAAATCAAATAAGTTCTGTGCTAGGTTTATGACTAGTAGTAATTATTTGATCGTCAAAAAACGAATAGCCGTAAACATTTTACACCAAATTGGACCATATCGAACCAATTCAGCCTCATCTTACACACAACTTGGATCACCTAACTGGATCAGGAAATCGAATGGAAGGAACCAAACCAGAGTTCGATGTAATATTACAAGCAGATGTGTCGTAAGATGGGTATATGAAAACACTGACTGCAATGTTTTCCAACTTTTCTCAGGTGGAGAGATCACAACAAATTATTTCGGGTGGTAATGGGAATTAGTTTGACCTCGTTTGACATCCTGGCGATATCCAGTGCTGTTTGGTACTTGTAAATCTGGAAGGCCAAAAATGTTCTCGAAAAAAACGGGGCAGAGAAAAAGAAATATTGGAGAATTTGCATCTCATTACATTTAGCCGCTGAACAAACTTCATCACTGCAGTTATGAAGACCGGTATGAATGATCGATAAGCCCAAATGGTTCACTAAGTGAAGGCACAGAGGTGTTTCAGTTTCAGTTTCTGTTTTATAACCATTAACCATGCACTTTCTTGCGCCGGTTTTGGTTGCTGTCTTTTGGTTGCCCATTTGGATAAAAGAGCGAAGTGAAGATTGGAATGTCGAAGCAAATTCAAGCGGAAGATGGGGAATACATATAGAGTGTGTTAAGAAAATAACGAATGGATGCGCGAGCCCCACTGTTTGCGACACCCAGCCATATCACTCAGTGTCTCTAACGATCGGTGACCATCATCCCGAAGTTCCCAGCCAGGGAGTGGCCTATGTGACCTAGTCTCCTGGTTAGGGTTTTCATACCCTCATGCCAGGTCTTAGCTTAGCTGGTGTGCCCAAAAATAAAAAGGAAACATTTGACTGGGCAAAACGTGCAACATTTCACCCGGATTAAATAGGATAACCACTGAACGACGTATTGATTGGCGTAAACTGTGAATGTGTTTGGGCGTCCGCGTGAGCGCCTGTATATATATGTATATATTGTTGCGGTTAGTAGCATCTAACCCACTTACAAAACATCAAATCATAGCATTGATTCTCCAAAGGACTAGCTCTGAAAGAACTGTCTATCCAATGGTCACCCGGTGTTGCAAACAAGGTTGGTGTGACGAAAATACACTTATTGGGTACAAGTATATGAATGAAGGGGCAAAAGATTACCAGATACACATGCCTGACGAGCGGCAAGAACCGCGAACCTGGTGAAACCAGGGGAAATTTTATCCGATCATTCACATACTACTTACTATGATATATATGTGTATACATGGAGGTAGATAGTAGTTGGTTCGGTCGCTAACGCGATTTTTGAACTGACCTTATGGGCTAACCTCCCCTTCAACTGTATAGGGCGGACACAGCATCATGCACCCATTAACTGCGTTTAAACACAGTCAGTCGATAAGTAGTTGCCAATTAAGGACACAAATGAAATGAAGGATGGTTACGCACAGTCAGCTACATGCATACATATATACATACTTACTTACTTACTTACTTGCATACTTATATATATATATATTTATATATATATATATACATATATATATACGTTTATTCATCACAGCTGATATTCGGAAAAATACTTGATGATAACCGTGAAAATTTAGTGCAGAACATCGGTCTGTTCATTAAGACTGGAGACTGGTTCGTAAAGAAAATATTCTCAAATACGCTAAACGAGTCGTTTTATTCGCATGTTGGCCAATTTAAAATTGTAACGAGTTTTTCGTTGAAAATTCTGTCCATAATGGATGAGCAGTGCATCCTGGGACTTGATTTGTATCGGCTTATGCTGAACTGTGCGAGAGCGCTGCACCGATCACAACCTGAACATGACTAACGGTGTTTTGCATTTCTGTCAAACTCACATCGATCTCACGCAAGAACGATTTGTCAGCAAACTTGTACAAATCCGCATGTATCACATTGAAAGCCAAATAGGCACCGGGTGTGGTAAAACCTTTGATCTCGACCGTGTCTTGATTCAAATCCTTGCCTCGATTCACGATCATGTGCACATTGTTCAGGTTCGTGTAGTTGGTATAAAATGTCAATGCATCTGACACTATCTCACTTCGATCTTTGATGAAATAGGCCACCAAGTGTGCCACGGGAAACATTGCCCGTGATACGGCAATGGAGAATGTGCGTGAAGTGACGGCATTCGGCATAGTGAGTTGATCGGCAGTTAGAATATTCCCGTTTGAGACAATCTGAATAGGATAATTGGGAAAAATTTTGAAATCAAATTGATAAATGTGAAAGTGAATTCACGTTTTAAATATAATAAGTAGTTGTACATGCTTTGGCCTGCGACGGTGAATCTCATGCACACGATTGAACAAAATATATCAATGAAATAGGTGTACAAAACACTGCAACAGTTGAACATGTTCTTAATTTATTTTCGTGCAATTTCACTGAACCCAAGGTCCATTTATTGTTGTTTCTGACACAAAACCTGGCACGTGTGAGTTCGCATTGATCCGAACGAGGAAATTATCCAAGTTTCATAACACTGTGTTTTGAAGTACTGGCTGTCGACTGTTTGGGGGTTTTAAATTCCAGCTCGGAGGAGCGCGATTCAGGTCTCAGTTGGGGATAGAGAAATAGAACACATTACAGATGAAACGGGTGTCCAATGCTCTTTGTCGGCCCTCGTGCAATACATTTGACAAATAGTGGACAACTCGGCTTCGGAGACGTGGTTTGGCTATTTTTCATGCAAATTCAGTGCGTTACTTGTCGCTGAAAACACTGGAAGCTCAGAACAATAATTCGATAAAATAAGCAAAGTTCGGGAACTTTGACATATCATGTCAGTCATTAGTATAGACTTCAAGTAGTTTGCGAATATACATGGCATACTTGTGACAAAATAAACGGGAGTGATAAAAAAATGCCTAACTTTTATCACTTTTCTGTCTCTCCACTACGCATGATTATCCGCCGTTCAGTCGAAGCGGAATTCAAAATAAACAATCTCACGCAGTCGGATGTGTTGTGAATATTGATACTTAACTCGGAGAGCACTATACTCTGCATTGTGATCTTTTTCTGTCTGAAGAGTTTGGTTATCCATACTGACCTCTCCTTGAAGGAATGTTTATAAAGATGTCGCCAGACTTCAATGAAACCTACTCCCTCCATTCTACTACAGTGTGAAATTGTGTTTCCATTCTAGTGGCAAGGGCTTGCACACAAAATCGCGAAAAGACATTTTATGTGTCATGAGCCAGGTACAGTTTTTCTACTTCATTACGCCCAGCCTCAGTCCGATAGATTCGATTAGTAACTCTTTACATCTAGGTTATTTATTGCAATGCACTTGGTCGAATCATACTGGTTTACAATCGTTCAACCCTGGGTTCTTGACCCGGTTGGGAGCACCGTGAATGTCTCATAAGAAGAATGAAACAGTTGTGCTTTCCGCAGTGACTTAGGTATTTATACCACATGTTGAACCACTTTATGAACAAAGTCAACTCATTGTCGGTTTGGTCGACCGAACCTGGATCATCGTATTTTATTAGCTTATGACACATGTTACGTGGTGTTCAGACAGACAGTGTATCGACTAATTGGAGATTTAGTATCTTAACCCATTTTACCGCTTAACAGAGGGATCAACCGCAGTTATCGTTCACCCGTTTGCACAAGAGCATCAGTACAAGGGGGGTCATCGACCCATTGGTGATCTAATATCTTACCCCAAATTCTCGCTTCCTGGCGAGGTCAACTGCAGTTGTAGTTTACCCGTTTACACAGGCACGTCAGTTTGACAGAGATTATCGATCGATTAGATTTAGTTCTCATCATTGTGGACAATCTCAGTGTAGCAGACGCGGTCTTGATTTTGGTGAACACCTTATTCGAGTGAAATAGGTTATGGATATTAAGGAAAGGCTGCAGAAATTACGGAGATTTATTTGAACCAGAATCACAAATCGTCACGTTTTAAGTTTCCACTCCGTTAGAAGTCAACTAACATGCTTAGATTGACCGCATACTTCAGTAGTCCGTTGATTGTAGCATTGTTGAACAGTTTCGAAGCAACCATACTAAATTTAGGTTCGTGACTGTTGCCGAACTGTTTCCGGCGATGATCGTAAAACAAAACAGGTCATCTGGGAGAAATCATGTTGTGGTTTGACATCATAACAACCAAATTTGGAATAATGCAGAAGTAATCCATATGTTTTCCGAAGAATTTGAACTGCATGGCAAGCTTTTTCCAGTTGAACCACTGTTATATCAAGGATTTTAATATTTACTAATAACCAGCGGTGAAAGTTTTCCCCAGCCTTGCCCCCACTAAGTAGTAACGTTAGGTTTTCTTTGGATTTCTGGGCTCCGGAAGCCATTGATCGTCTGAGGCTTGATGCTTTATTTCTGACAAACGCTTATATCACAAAGCTATCTCCTGTGAACCATGGAACAATACCGGTAACCATGCTCAAAGTTCGATCACTGTATTTCGTGATGCAATCAAATTTTCAATGCAAACCTGAAAAATTAACATCATTTGAACGTGTGCTTATTAACTGTCTGGGGCATCTTGTTGGTTTCGACCTCCTATGTTTCCAGTGATACACCAGTTTTGACCAATTCTCTGGTAGCAGTTCTATTGAGTAGAACATTGTAAAAGATCTTTCTTCAATTGCTCATGGGTTGTACCTCAGAGATCTAAGTCGTACCAGGTTGAATCAGCTTATTCAACACATTCTTTTTCTTCTCTACGACAGATAAGCTTTTGCACATTGGTACAACAAATGAAATCACATCGAACTGCTAACATTTGTATGCGTTCGTCACAGGAGCTAAACAATCAGTGAACACGGTTGCGTGTGCGTCGCACCCGGGGAGATGTCCCTAATCGAATGCGATATTGAACCTTGGCTGATGAATGACCAACTCATGCATCGGTAGACGAATAATTGAAGAACTATCATATATGAAAGAGTGGTAGCATTGCATATTCGGATTATGCGGTATTAAGTATTCGGTTGGCTTGGTTTCGATAAAAATTGGAAATGTATTGTAAAATGTCACTTCCAGTGGATGTAACTTGGTACGAGATTGACTAAATAAAGGCCGTTTTAGCATCCCGTTTCTCGAGACTTTCCCATGAATTGGAATACCGTACTGAGTAACAACATTCTACCGTCTCCGTGTAAGTGGTTTCTCCAACTGGCGAAAAACAAAAATTGTACATCTTAGATAACTCACGTTTACAACCGAGTTTGTAAGCAGGTGGGATTTATTTTAACCCTTAACAAAGAACACTGTTCAGCAATAAAGAATGACGAACACTTATATCTAAGATCATTTACTAGAAATTCACAAAACGGAATTCCTTCATCGTAGCGAAATAGGATATAACTTACCACATAATGGATTCTATCTGTGGGATAATTTGTTTGAACAGTAACCACGAGGAATTCATTGACCTGCAGGGTGAGAATAAAACAAAATAAATCTTATTCTTATCGGTTCCGGAGTAGATAAATTAGATTATACATTCTCTTGCATAGATCACTTCGATCTGTTCAGCGAAAAAGAAATCCATCCATTACGACGACACGCTTCGTTTCAGCGAGAGCTTTTCACAGCTGAGGTAGGTTATCTGTTTCGTTTATCTCATCTGACTACTCACATTGTTTGTAAGTAAGTGAATGCGGTAATTCAGACATTTGGACAACCACCTGGGAAACAGGAGAGGGTAGAAGCTATCAACGATGAATATCACTCATTTAATTGTCTAAACAGTCCCACAGAGCACATTTCAAATCGAACAAGGAGTGGCGAACAAGCTCTTTTTCAGTGATTCGTAGTCACGTTAAATACATCACAATAAATATAACGCTGTCGTATGCTAGCCACAGCGGAAGCGGTAGGAATTCGGCTGCGTCACCCCCCTGAGTGTGCGCAAAAATAATTTGTGCAGGCGCGTAAGCTCCCCTGTCCCACTCCCTACACACCCCATATTCCGAGTGATCCCAACGATCGAATGACCTAACGATTATGTGATCATTGAGAATTCCATATCCGGTCCCAAGATGAACTTAGCCCCGGACAACCCATGAGGTTATTTTCCCTTTCCCGAAACATTGGTTTGCGTTTTTATGGTTGAATACTGATTTATATATAAACGGTGTAATATTTATTGTGATGTATTTGGTATGACCACGAATCACCGAAAACGAGCTTGTTCGCCACCCCTTGTTCTATTTGAAATCACTCGTTGACTTAAAAAGTAATCAGCTGAATAATATTTGCCAATTTTTAACTTAATAAAGAAATCGAATTTCTTTAAAACGAAAACAAACGGCCTTTTAATCAAATGAACTGAGCTACACATTGGAAGTTTCACAAAATTACCCGAGCTTGAAGTGTGGACGTGGACAATTGCAGATACGTGTTGGAATAGGAGTGGTAGCGGAAGATTCGTTGTTCAGCACTGGACAGCACACGATCCGTTTCGTCCAAGTAATATGCCTACAATTTTTGAGAAAATTGGGGAAACCAAATGAACAACGGAACAGATTTGGTCAATTAAATCGAGAACCGAATGAGTTTTCCATCATCAAAAATTACTGTTGATTCAAGCACAAACCCTTTCCACTTGAAACTCTACACAAAGATTTTACATCATGCGTTTGAGACATTCAAGAAAATGGTACCATCCCATACTATACTATACTATACGATACCATACTATACTATACTATACTAAACCATACTATAAATTTCCGACGAAGTTAGCGAAAAACTAACGGCGTAAAGCTAACATGCCTTTCCCCAGAGAACCTCAAATTCGAAATCAGTATAGTTACTAAAACGCATTGTTGACCGTTGAAATCGGTTAACTTACCTGTAAACGATATACGAGACAATTATCACCAGACGGTCGATAGGTGTAGGAAATCACACCATCATCCGGAACCATCAATGAAACCTCATTGGTGTACGTGTTCTCATTGCAAAAGAACGATAGGGTGACGCGTCTGTTTCCGGTAAATCGTACCATACTTCCATCGGGCATGTAGACCACCAACTGAAGATGATGAGAATTAAAAACAAACAGCAACTGCTTTAGCTGTACACACATTGACCTTGTCATTGATTGCACACTTGACGAGAGAGCCAATTTCAGCCTATCCGCATGTGTGTGTATTCATCCAACAATAAATGAGAAACAGTTTCGCTCTGAAGAATTCCTTTCGTGTTGTAGACATACAACCGCACTTCTTTACACCATACAGTTCAAACAGTTATTTATTTCAAAATAACACCGGAAAATTCGATAGGAATACCAGATATATGTATTTCATTCTCAGAGTAAGAGAAACATGAAGTGTAAAAATGTTTGGAGCACAGTAAAGCCATTTCGGTCTGGATGGATCTCATCAATGGTGCAAATTCATTGACCCAATTGGAGATGATACATTCCACATTCAATTCACATTATCATTGTTATCACCCTCAACGCGTTTTCCATCAGACAGAAGGTATAGTGAGTGATACCAATGCTACCGATTACAAAATAACACCTGAAGTAAGCTGATCATTGTAATCAATAAAGTTCCTGTGTTTGTGTGTATAAGATATTTTTAACTCTCACCATAAAGAGGAAAACAAGATTTCGATATTGTGCAAATTCAATGTAGTATTCTAGTTACGTGATCGGAATCCGCTGGAAAGCTTGCGTTGTGTGTTTGTGTGGGCGCCCGCGCGTCACTTTGGAGTCGCGCATCTGAACTCTCCCTGATCGAGTGCCCGGAAGAGTGTTCTGGACTTTTTCTCATGTTTCGACACAGACGGGACAGTCAAAACTGTCTACATTAGGCTAACACATAACATACAGCTCATTTGTAACGGGGTTCGGATAAACGGGGCATATATATATATATATATTACGCAAATCATTGGTCCATTGTAAACCATGGATTCCGATAACTTACATAGACAGTGAAATAGAGATTGGGCTTGAACGGACGGACACTACCGCCCAGAAATTTGATCAACGGATTTGAGGAGAAAATTTGTGTGTATGCCCAACCTTGTCGAGTACCTTTTTCCCACCAACTGTAGTACGTCACATTGACCCATACTTCAGTGTTGGCTAAAGAGTTAGTTCCTCCGTTAGCACTGGCAGCACGACGCAACTCGTCCAAGGTGATCAGAAGGTCACCAACTCCTTCTAACTATATTGGTATCGTTTCAACGAGACGTGGAAAAAAAATAATGATGTCATTGATAGTAACTAGGGAAAAACAACAAATAATCGAAAACAATCTTGATTTTTCATCATGAAATCAAAAATTATTGATGGTTATCAAATAATACCATTACGAGAAAGAAAAAGGAAGAAAAGGACTCGATTAAAGCCTTGCTTATCGCGATATTATATTGTTTCACTGTAGTTTGTAGCTTGCGTATATATCCACGTGGTATGTACCTTCCGACCACCGGGCCGATCATTTCAAATATAATCATCCGAAATCGACTTAATATAAACTGGTTAAGGAAAAAGTAATTGTAATTTGTACACCGAAAGCTGAGACCAACCAAGTTTTGTTATGACTGAGTCACCCATCCATCCACCCATCTTCATAGTCAGAGAGTTACGAGAGCCAGTATTTTCATTGCGGAAAGTCTAGGTGTAACATGAACCGTAACCCCAAATGTCATAATGTGGAAAACACTACGCAGTATGTGAGGATTATAATTCACCGAAGTTTCTGTTACCATGTGTAAAGTTTCCCAAGGGATGGTTCACAGTGCATTCAACTATTATCTCCACCGACATTGCTGTGCTATTGACCTTATAACATACACTATACCCAAAATATGGTATGTTGACTTTCTGATACCCTCCAAATACTGTTTGACCCGGAAGCATTGGATACGTTCGCGGGGTCATCTCGTCAGGAGAGAACATTTTCGGGGTCGACGAAACTTGTTCACTCAATGAGGATACCATCTGATGAGGCTTTCAGAATGTAGCGCAAAATATGATGCCCGCCTTCCATACCGGACCTTTGGGATTTGTTAGTTTGGGTGAACTGTGTATGCAAGAGCTACAGACAGTTTGAAAACTGATCACCTGGAAATTTTACGGCATAACAGTACTTCTTCGGAGAAACTACATTATTATTGTACAAATGCTGCCTCCATTGATCTTTTGAACGCCGTTTACGGGTGCTAGTGAGTTCATGTGCAGTCATTTTGTATTGAGCGTATCAAGAAGACCTAGACACCTGTGCGATGAAAAGCAAAAGTTGCACTTGAAATAGCCATTTGCCGTGGACTTACGTGGCGGTCAAAAAGTACTGAATGCACAAAGCAACAATCATGAAAAATTTTCCGTACATTCACAATCAGTATATGTCAAATAATATATATATATATATGTTTAAGTATATAAAGAACCTGCTTACACACAAGCTTGGTGATCATAAAAGGCGGTCGTCTAAACTTTGAGTATCATTCTGTATTTCACTTGGTGCAATATCTTCGCAATTTTCACCTCCAAGAGTGTACAACTACGGAGATGCGGGGGAAAACAGAATATTTGTTCATACAACGTATAGAAGTATGGAAGCGCATTGATTTATTGAAGTTTTGAATAAACAGTAAGAGATGTATGTATACCTTTGTTGTATGCTTAAACGCAGCTACTCCCTCGTCTATTAGAGTCAAACGGTTGTCAACTTTAATCTTAGTTTAAACGCTACCATGACGAATGAAAGAGGACCTGCACGATAAATCGCATAACTCACGAAAATCCACCCAATGTGATCAGAATAGATGAGTTTTCACTAGTTTTGTGCCATGCTTACCGCCAACAACTGTATTTTCAGCTGTGCCCTCGGTGCCGAAGTCCATCGTGTGGCTCCGGCCTCCCGGAGCTGAATCAATGCGGTTGCATTACCGTTCACTGCCTTGCCGCTGGTATAGTTCGCCATAATCAGGCCGTACAGAGCCAGTTCATTGTCCGTGATTCGTAATGGCAGGGTAACGTTCACATCCCAAAGCGGTCGCCCTTCAGTAGGATCCAAAAAAGTCAAATAATTTCCTTATTTCTATGCGTGGAAGTACGAGTTACTTTAGGTATATGATTTTTCTTACAGTTCCACTTTTCTCGCGTTAGGAAAAAGTGATAAGTATGAATGATACTAGAACCTCACGAGTTGTGCTCCCTTATGACTTTTTATTTTTATGAATAGGTGTAAAAATAACAACAAAAACTGAACAAATCTCGATGAGATTAAAACGGGGTTTCACTCTTTGGGGACAGAGGTTTATTTTAAATCCGAATTTTTATATAAAGGCTAAGAAGAGGTAATGGACAACCGCTTCGGTTCGTACTGCGTCTCTATACGTACGGAGACAAGCACCACAAAACGTCGGATTGACGGTGAAAACACTTAACCCTGAGGCATGTCGTCAAAGATTGTTGCATGTAATTAAAAACTTTTTGTATTTCCCATAGGAATTAATAGGCAACAGTCTCTGTTTATCGTACTCATAAGTGATTCTCAATCCTGGCGTAAATCTGAGGGGAACAGAAGAATCCTCAAAGATTGAGGCAACTTAAGAAAACTCAAAACACAAACCCTTTATTTGTATGAATTCAGATTGGAAATATGGGTAAAATTTCTGGATGGTCTATTTTTTTTTCAAAAACGCTGCGATTGCACTTAATGTGAAAGAAAAAACAAGGCTTGACGTTAGACGTAATATATACCATACAACCCACTATATCCTCATTCTTAAGTTGTAAAATATGACCATTAGTGTGAAAAGGAGTAAAGTCAGCTGCTGACTAAAAGCTTAAGAAGATGAAATGTGATGTATTGTATGTATTGATAAAGAGAAATAGTCTTTTGGGTCACCCGATATTTTCTTTTATTATGCAGTTTTAAAGGTTTGATCTTCATTTCCGTGTGTATGTGTATTCGCACCGCTGATGAGGCAAAACAAAGTTGAAATACATGATACATTTCGTCGTATGGAGATCAAACTAAGTGTGAATTACTGAACTGTTAATTACATTTCAGTTGTTTTGACCTTGTTAAATCTTATCATCTTCTCAATTCGTCATTCTCTGGCTCAGTATTAGGTGAAATCCAAATCATCACTTCTTTTTAGGGTTTATGTTTGTTTCCTACGTTTAGGTAATTTATCCAATCTGAAAACCTACTCGTAAAGTCCAGGTGATCAATAAGCTACTTTACTGCATCGTTGCGTCAGTGGTTGTGACACTGTTATTAACATTTAAACCTAAATCTCACAGACCATTTATATCAGTTAAGATGTTTAAAATTCATTTTTACTAAAATATATTTTCGTGGCTGGTCCGAATATATTTAAGTGGTCAGCTGGTGTGAAAAATAGCAGGACTAAGCTTTGAACCTCGAGCGTAACGGGATTGGATGCGCCAAAACTACAGCATCTTGTCACATTGAAGTGATTATGATTCTGTATTTTAAGTTTTTCTAAATAGCTTAAGTGAATCCCGGCATCTCATCATAGCATAGGCATTAAATTTTTGAGATGAACAGTTTCTGAAAACATGCAACCGATTTCGCGATCGAAGCAAACACTTTTCGAAATCCGCTTATGGAATATTATGATAATTTTACCGATCCTTACGAATTTCCTCCAAATGTTTTTTTCCTTATTGTGTACGACAATTAGAATCCCAATGTTAGAAGTCGCTCTGTTACACAGCATTATTTTCGCGGGTTTTCGAGGTAAATAACATTACCTGAACATTAATCCCTTCTAGGTTTGAATTGAGTACTGAAGAGCCGTAAATACGTTATCCACCTATTTATCTTCAGTTTTCCTCAGTGAAATCGTTATCATAAAGCTGATTGCCTCACAACCACTGTACAACCACGTGAAGGAGCATACCAGAGTCGGAAACTTGCAATCACCATTCATCCTGGATTTAAGGTTGACACACGAAGAGTTGATGATAGAATCTGTTG